TTGATGAAATAACAAACTTCAAATACATTTAGATGGCTGTGTTTTTTTCAGTTCTGTAGGTTGACCCTAACCCTAGCAATAACTCATCAAAATTTACCTCGAAAAAATGCCAAAATTTACAACTTGAGTTCATTATCATCCGAAAATCGTTTCACCCTAATGTCTTTCTTTAAGTTTCGAAACGCGTAATAATTACTAGGGGCCTACTCTGGACTGTACGGGAGGTGGTTTATGACTGTGAAGCGATTTTTGTCTGCAGCAGCCCTCGCAAAAAGGCAGGTATGAGGTGGCGCTTTGGCGTGCAAAAAATTCACCAACTCTTTTCTTTGATCCCACGTTTCTCTTCAACCGCAGCACGCAGCTCCTTCTGGGTTCCTGCATACGCGGCCCCATTTATCGTAGTATTTTTAGCAAGAAATTTGATAAGCAGGGGAACTATGGTATCCTTGAAAATGGTCATCATAGATTTTTTGGCAGATTTGTACACTTTTGCTTTCATGGGCAGTGGCGACCCCCCCTGCTTCCTTTGCATGAATTATTGTTTGATCACCGGGTCATAATAGTGAACCTAACTAACATATCCAACTACTAAAATATGAAGCAGGTTCCAGTTTTCATCTAAAAGCTCAAAATTTGCATTGCAAAAGTCGACTCGATCGAGTTTTTGAGATGGCAAATGCAATTCTGGTACCCAACGGGCGGAAACCATTTTCATAATGAAGTCTTCAGTTAACATGGAACAAATTGCTGGGTTTCGGACACCCATCTCATCTGTTAAATAGGACAGTTTCAATCGTGGATCTCTCATTATTGGTTCCTCTAGTTTCTGGAGCCTTTCTGTGGAAGAAGCGGATTTTGGGCGTCCTGGCGACTTTTTGTCCGAGACCTCTTTTCGCCATCATTAGAAATTATTGACCCAATTTATAGTGTGCATTGTGTTGGGCAGTTTTCAACGTAAATTTTAAGCATACGATCATAAATCTGCGACACGGATTGCTCCTCCAGCATTAAAAATTAAATCACACTACGATATTTAATTTGCAAATCTGACATTTTTTCCGTCGAGGTAAAGTTTGCTGATTTATTGAAAGTGTTGATGTTAACCTAAAGAACTGAAAAAAATCACAGTTTCCTAAATGTATCTGAAGTTTGTCATTTCATCAAAATTTTGGTCAGAAACAGTGCGGAACATACCTTTTGAAAATCAATAATAAAACACCTACGTATACATAAATCTCAATCGGAATGAAACTTATTCCAAAAAAATTAATATGAAAGGAAACCCGAAAAATTACTGTACTATTTAAAAAAATTATGTTGCTACAATAATTGTAAGAATTATTTTTTTGTACATTCACGAAATGCACAGTTATATTTTGGACGTGAGATAATGTTAAATTTGAAATCTGCGAAATCTGATAAATGTCATTGAGCGATTTAACTTTGTGCATATTTTGACGCCGGTAATGAATTTTTGAATATAATGCTCTGGCGCAGAATAAATCTGGAGATTAATACACAATAGGGAATCGGATACGTATTTAATGGACATTTTTTATGAATTTTGCGCACGAAACTAACTTGCTAATTAGAATTTAGTTTATTATTACATATGTGTTTCATACATGAATTTTGATCACATTAGAAATTCAGATTCCCAATCTTGTTGCCAATAAACCTGCACGCAAAATAAGTTGACTTCAAAATTATTTTCAATGGGTGACAATAATTTCCGTTAAATTAGCCTTGTATATCGCTCGGGTCTTAACTACCAAATTGGTAAAATATCAGCTAGGTAATATATTTTTACCAAATTATTTAGTGTGCCACAAACTGTTTTCTCAACTCGGTACCCTCTAATTTAAGCAGTCTCTATAAATTAGGGAAATAATGGACAAAAAATAGATAAGTAATGATACAAGGGGAAAAAGGGGTCGGAGAATTGAGATTTTCAGTCTGATTTATTCCCTCGGTTTTATTTCGTTGGAAGAGAAAACGCAAATAACGAGAAGTTCATCGGTCTGAAAAATTGCAGAAAGCGAGCTTCTGCTGATTAATTGTGTTGTTCTTGTTCTTCAGATAAATAAATTTCGCAAAGGAAGAGTAATTCATGGTAATAATAGAGTTGCACAATTTTAGGTCTGGTTTATGTAGGAGCTCATTAGTAGGCACATTTTTTATTTTGAGTTTGTAAATCTAGCCAATTTTGTGGTGGATGAGATATTTTTGTAAAGTAAGGGTTTGGGTTATTTATTTCTTTAATATTTTCAAATCTTGACAAAATTTTGACTTATTTTATTTTCGAAGTTTATATTTTTGGTGATACATATATGTAATGGTTTAAAATTCGGAATTTTCAAAATTGTGCTTAACTTTTCAAAATTTTACAAATTATGTTCTTGCAAACTATTGCAAAATAAGCAGGTATTTGTGCAATTCACAATGAATTTATTGCCAAAATTTCCTTCGTAATTTTGCAAAAATATGGGAACATGTGCAATTACAGAGTTTTCTGGATTACAAAAATCCGACTGAATTGTGGATCTGGCTTAAAATATTTTTCGATTAGATCAGATGCAAAACAGTGTAGAAATTTCTGTAATAAAACACTTATTATGTTTCACCGTTGAGACGTGGAGACTAGAAAAAGATATTATTTTCCCTAATTTATGAGTCCTTAGGGTATAATTTGTCTTTATTTTGGGATAGGATGTGATGCAGCATGTGCATATTTTTAGCTAATGAGAACAAGAACAGTGGAATATGCATGAATCCAGATAATAATTTCAGTCTTGGCTCATACTGGAAAAGTTTGTTGGTCTTAAGTCCGATTTGCAAGGCTTGTTGCCCGGGTAGTTTACTTTTCGGAGAGTAGGGTTTCTAAACATAAGAAAGTTTTGTTTGTAAAAATGAGATTTTTTAAAATGATTTTTGAAATTTTAACTAGGCATTTGCATACATATGAATAAATTACTGTTCGTTCACGATTAATGTGCAGTAAAGTCCTCACTATTTTTTAAAAGGTCAAATGGTCAAAATTGCTAATTGCCAAAGTTAGAAAATCATGTATTCTTAAAAAAAGTCATGGAAAATAATCATCCGCCAAATAACCTTTCAGATTTTTTTACTGCGTATTAATTTTGAACGAACAGTAATAATTTAAAAAATCGTATGTGTAGAACGCAGTTCAATAAAAATGAAAATAAATATTTTGACTAAAAATATACCATAAAAATACTGCATTTTTCCTTACACACACGTAAAAATGAGTACACATTAATATCTCAAATTGCGTAGGAGTACCTAAAATAAAACTACAGATTATTTATGTCTGCATAAAAAACCGGGTAAATTTCAACTTCGGTGGCACCCTAGCCGTTTACAGTTTCCATTTGAACGAAACCACCCACCCACGATGCCCGATATCATATCCGAGTCTCATTTTCACGCCGTTAATATAATCCTGCCACCGATAAAAATCTCCACTTTACGATACACAACAAGACGAAATAAACTCCGGTCTCGGGTATGGTTTCATTCCCAGTTATTTTTTTTATCCCCGCACCAGGTCTTATCCAACCATCATGTCTTTCCTTCCGATCAGATCGACTCGAAATTTTGCATGCATTTACTCATGATACGTTTTGATACACAAGATTTACCAGAGATGACAATAACCCACCGGTATCAAGAATTTTTCCACACGCTAAATAATTTGGTAACAATTTATTACCGGATGGTACTCCTGTAAATGGTTTGTTACCTTTGAGCGATGTGTTCCGAGAGTTAAATACAGTAATAAATTTGTATTTACTATAATTTGCATCTCGTGTTACACCAACCGGTAATCTTTATCCCTCTCTAAAATTAAAAATTTTCATAACTTCAATCCACGACGTTGTAACTTCGCAACAAAAATCCAAAATATTCATGACATGAATTCACGAATTATAAATTATTCACTTAAATGCTAATATTAATTCAATAAGGGTCAACCACATTGGTAGCGATTTGTAACCGACAGGTATGAATTATTTCACTTAGAATCGTTTTCTTACCAGGAGTTGAATAGTTTGAATTCTCCGAATCATTATTATTTTGAGGGATTACAAGAGTAAGTAGACCGATTTTTGGACCGATTTTCGAAATATAATTTGAATCTTTAGGCAATTATTATCTGAAATTAATTATCGAAATTAATAAACAGACGTAAAAACTCCCTAGCTCGGGCCATATTTTAAATTCCTTGACTCAACTCTGTCTTTTCTTTTCAAGGAAAGGAATGCATATTGAATGAAATGAGAAGCTTTTACATTTTACATTTCGCAAAAAAAGCAGCACGATCGTCATAAATCGTAAGTAGAATTTATTATCGCTGTCCGTCCGTCGAGCGAGTAAAGTGATCCTGCTGCCGTTATTGGTTCTCATCTCATTTACATATGTGCACGGGAGACCGGAAGAAGGGGATTTTAGCAAGAATTTTTACTTTATAGTTTTCGAAATATAAACCCAGTGCAGAGATAAATGTCTCAGGTTGAAAGTTTAAACTTGATTTTTGGACGTTTTATGAGAAAAATGTGGGGAATATTTGGGTGATGATTTGGCATTGGCAGTGGAGGAAATAAGGATGATGAAATGTTTATGAGGGATTAAATTCCTGTTTGAATTTTGTTATAGTTTTGGAATTTTTTTTCACTTTATATTTTTTTTTGCTTAAAATTTTTAATTTGCAACTAATGGAAATAGATGAAGAATCTATCTATATTCAATATTATTAGGTTTAAAATAGAAAAGTGTTCATCCGCTTTAAGAAGCTACGCGAGAAATGTTGGAAATAGAATTTACTGAAATGCTACAAAATTAGCATGCAAATCTGTCAATTTTTTGCACCGAAAATACAGGAAATTCAATAACATCACAAAATTGTTTTTTATAAGTTAAATTAAATAAATTTTGTGTCAATTGTAATTTTAAAAATTATTTTTATTACTTTGTTTCAGACGGTGGTGGAAAATCGTCTTTAAAGTTAAAATTTTCGTCCCCTGAGGAAGATAATATTCAACCGTGTTACTCCGGAAGTGGATTACCGATCACGTTTCGAACCCCGTCAAATACAAATATTGTTCTCAACGCGTCCTCCAGCTCCACCCCTTTCGTCAGAATGATCGATCAGCAGAGATATTTCGTAAGTGATCCGTTACACTTATTTAGATTTATGTGATTTTTGTAATATTTATAGCGATCTAAATACGTTAACTATTAATTATGAACGTTTTTTGGGAAGTTTACAAAACAAAATTTTTAATTGCTTAAAGTTCAAAATTAGATACACAAGGAAATTGATTTCCAAATTTAATACTAACTTTTTACGCAATTTTAAAGCTTAAATTACATTTTGGGACATTATACAGTGCAGTTTCTTACATTCCGATTAACGCACCTCGTAATTAAATAACTGTAAGTTTACACGCAATGTACATTAATAAATTGTGGATGTGAAACCCAATGCAACATTGAATAAAGGCTTAAGTCCGGTATTTATAAACCCCCAAATTTTCAAACGTTTCTACAAGTTTGCAAAAATAAGTCAGACTAAAAAACTTTTGTAAAATTACCCACATCAAGGTCACTCGTTCTTTTATTTTACAAAAATTTGTAAAATAAACCGGTCATAAGACCAATCCAAAAGGAATTTCAAATAATATTGACCGTGCAAAATTGAACTGATTTTAGAAATGAAACACAATTTTTGCCATGATTTCTACACAGTATTGGCAGATTGTCACCTTTACAATTGTGAATTCGCATCCTTCCTCATCATTTCCTAAAATTGAAATGAAAGTGAAAACGAATCGTTTGTTATCACCACATTACTCGATATTTCCACTGTGCGTGCATGGTCCGGTGGTCACGCGCTTTCACTTTTGTTTCTGGGCTGAGGGGACCGTTTTCATTAAAGTTTGTAGAGAGGAATAATAATGATGGCGATGAGGATACTTCTGGTCGATTAAGTCCGTGAAAGTGAATATAGTTGGTTAAATAAGTCCACTTCAGGAAATGCGAGGCTGTGGGTTGTGGGGGAGAACACTCTAAAAAAGCTTTACCGAGCGGTGACAAAACCATTAATGATTAATGTTTTCTATGCGAAAAGAACGATCCTTTAGTTAAATATGAGACTAGGTAATTTAAAATTTGTGAATTTATGACATGAATAGTTTTTATGATTTGTTTGAAAACTATTGCCAATTGGAAAGTTTGAAAGCCATAAACGTAATTTATGAAAATGTTTAAATTCGTTAGAGGGACAAAGATGTTGAGTTGTTAAAGTTTGTTGAAGTATAGTAGTCCCTGTATGTAAATTTGTTACCGGTATTTAAATTTCAAACGGCAGTAACACATCGCCTAAAGATAACAAACCATTTACCATATTACCACCCGGTAACAAATTGTTACCGAATTATTTAGCGTGTAGAGAGACATCTTTGTAGTGGTTGGTTATTGTCATCTCGCTTCTTTCACTGGTTGAGAAACGTCCCTATCTGAAAGGGAAATGAGACTGGGAGAATGGGATCGTGGCCATTTTAGTGTTATTTCGTATTTAATGTGGCTTTGGTCTCGATGTGCCAGCCAGCCACGACCCGATCTCATTTATCGACTCGCTTTTCCCCACAGAGTTCAGAATGATCAAAAGGATGCGTTTACATAATCATTAGGACAGAATCGTTCGTCCAAGTTAACCCGGCACGAAAACAAATGAGAATAATGCCTTGGTTTACGTCAACTTTGTAAATTTGTAATAACGCAATTCACGCGGATGTTGGTAACTTCGTAGAATCCTTAAATTTCTAAACCTTTGCATAAACAAGGTCATAAATATGTAAATTTGTATGTTTTGTAAGTCTTTCTTTTTGTAATCTACTATACTAAATTCTGTAAAATTTTTGGCATTTTTGCGAAGATTACGAAGGAAAAGTACACACTTGTTTAATGCTCATATACAATTTTATTACAGTATACTTTGTAACAAAAATTGTCACCTCTGATAAATTTTGAAAATCGGTAACTTTGCATAACTTATCCAGTTTACAAAATTGCGTGATGATTGGATTGCATGCATGTATCAATTTTACGTAATATACATATTTACATATGTATGCATAAAATGGGTACATGGAAATTTTAAGCTTTGTGATTTTTTTATTGGTTGATTGTGGCGAAGTTTACGTCGTGCCCCGTGTCGTGTGTATTTGTGGTTTTCAGTTTACATTGTCAAACATGCAGAATTTTGTAAAGGTTATGCATAACCAAAAAGTAAACCACAAAGGCAAACATATCATGCCATTTTGTCAACTCATTTTTAGCCTAAAAAAATTGTCAGTGCTAAATTGCAAGCTTTTGCAAAATTGAGGAATCAGTTCATTTTGCACAGTGAAGTGGGGCTATAGTTTACACAATCTGTTTTCGCTTTTATTTTGCAAAAATGGAAACCAGATTTTTTCAAATATTATACTCTTCAAAATAAAATGGTTATTACATAGTCAAAACTTAAATCCAAATAATGGGGCTAAATTTCTTCACAAATTTCCTACGTGGGTGTCGGTTTCCGGAAAAATCTAATAAAATTCCCACATCCAAAAAATTAGGACACATTTCGAATCTCGATTACTACCACTATTTAGAGGCAAGTTTTCTATAATAAATTGGATTCTCAAATATTTTACGAGTTTATAATTACATACACACCTTGACTTCACAAGTTCCATTTCCTACTCATTTTGCCATAATTTATATCCAATTTCTGGTTCTCCTTGCCTTCAAATGTCACGTCATGACATGTCACTGCTGCTGCTGAATTCATTTCATTCCAACAAATTAAAGTAACATGACCATTTTTTTGCCACAATGCTGACCACATCACTACTCACTCACATCTCAACAAAATGGCACAATTACACGCAGCAGCACGTAGTAATTTATGTATGGAGTGAATTACGTAACTAATAAATAAACAAACAATTGATGATTTGAATTTTACGACATAAATTTATTATCGAGTTTTATTCGAGGAAAAAGCGACGTCAAGACCAAAACAAGATGAAATTTGATGGCAAAGGTCAGTTAGTTAGTTGGTTGGTTATTAAACAGTTTGCATTTCACAGTGCAAAAAATGGATTAGTTGATGCAACTTTTTTTTAAGGGGGAGGACGTCATTCGTGCATGTAATGTAATCTGTAAAGTTATATTTCTAAGTAGATATTTTGTAGGTAAACAAATACAGACTATTTTTAAAATGTGCTATTTTTACAAGAATTTCGTAAGTGTTATGAACTTGAAGTGAGAAGAGAACAAAGTTTTCACCGATTTGAGTATTACCGACCTGGTAAAAATTTTGTTACCGAAAGATGACCGTAATTGTGTGCTATTTATTTTGACAAGAATTTCATGAATGTTATGTATGCTCGCGAAGTGGGAAATTTTTTTTACCAATATAAGTATTACCGAGTTCTGGTAACAATTTTGTTACCGAAGGATAATAGTTATTCTGTACGAAAATTCAAATTTAATACAACGCTAGGCTCAAAATTCTCACATCAAAGTGATTAATTCGACAACTATTATTATCATTCGGTAACAAAATTTGTATGAACTCGGTAGTGCCTACACAAATACAGTCGGTGAAAATTTTGTTACCACCGTAGCATTTAGAGTGTAGAAGTTTGTTTACGAAACCGAAATATGGAGCGTACATAACAAGAAGTTTAATTTGTCTCTCCAATAATTGCAAAAGTTTTTTTCTGGTTTTAGATTATGTTTACAAGTTATAAAATTGTTGTTATAATTAGTCCAGGGAAACTTTGATCTTTGTCCTGCGTGTTTTTATTAGATTTGAAATAATTTTCTAAAACAGTATATTACGAGAGCAAATTGCAAGACTTCGTTTTAAAAAAATTGACAATTTATTAAATTATTTTAAAACTTCCAAGTAGGACTCAAACGTCGCATAATTTAATTTTATACAAAAAAATATACTTTAAAAACTGTTTAGATGCGTCATTCTGTATTGGGCTGTTCAATGATAAGATTATGCTTCACGTAAATAAGTTTTTGAAAAAATAGTTTTTTACGACTTCGTGCCAAAACACTTCAAGTAACTCCGTTGTTTTAAGGTTTAACGAATTCGATACGGAAAATTTATAAATTTTCTCTTTACTGACCTGAATATTTATTAATAATTATAGTCCAAAAATTATAGGCTGTTTTATAACACTTTAATCAATTAAACCTATAAAAGCTTGGAAGTTATTTGGTCTTTAATTTATTACGACTTTGCATATCACGGCAGTTATACAAATACTTTCAAAAATCTGGCCGACACCGAAATATGGAACTATAGGAACATATCTACTGTAAGAGGTTTATTAATTTTAGTCTCAGTAATTTCAAAAGATTTTTCTGGTTTTAAATTATGTTAACGAAGGAAGAAAAATGGTCTCATAATTACCAAGTCAAAGGAAACTTTGACCTTTGCCCTGTCTATTTTTTATTAGATTTGTGAATTTTATATAACTTTAATGTGGTTTTATTTATCTATAATTACAGGACAAACCGGAACCGGGTTGTCGAGGAGTGGGGAATTTGGTGCGACTCGGACCAATGTCGATATTCCGGTCAACACCGATTCGGGTAAGATTTTAAAATTTTGTGAGATTTGACGTCGAATTTAATTTTATCGCATCTCCTGTCTATTTGACATATTCGGAAGATGAAAAATGTGTCTTTTATCAGATAAGCGATACATTCTTATCCACACTTTCCAAATTAGTGAAAATACACTAATTAGAAAATTAATATTAGCTAAAGTTTACGATACGAATTTCTCTTAAAAAATTTAGTTTGTGACAATGTCCTCAGTTTGTTTGATGCTAATTTATTATCAATGATAAGTCATCATTGGTAACATTTTAAAATGGCATTGCAAATATATGTATGTGGCTAATTTTGCAATGATGCTTGCCAGAAAAATTATTTTCAGAAAACCAATTTTTTTTAGACTTATCCTAAGAATTATGTATTTCTAAAATTGAACTGTATTAACTACGTATTCCATCCGAATTTACAAATAAAAGGATAAAACGCAAATTATTTTGTATGAAGTGCGTCATTAGTTCTTTTCACTGTTTCATTTCCGGTGGTGGTTTGCTTTTTCTGAAGGAATAAGAAAAAGTTATGCACACTTCCGATTTATTAATAACAGGGTAGGAGTGAAAGTGAATTAAGTTATTCATTTCATGTATGAATGAGATCTTCTGTTTAATAAGAAGGAACGACTGACCTATTTTATTTGTTTATTTTTACAAGTTTTTTTACCCGTTTGTGAACGAATTTACTTTGATTTTTTTTGTGGGCGGTTTCAGATCCATCATTTCTTAGGCTGTGATTAGGTTTAGTTCGTTATTTTATTTTTATTAGAGAGAATATCGACTAATTTTGTAGTTTACGTCAATCGGCGATTCACATAAGATGAGAGATAACATTGTTAGGATAGGAAAAATTCGAAATTTGTCTCAATCTAAATACTTGAAAGTTAAAAAAAAATTCACTCTCAAATTTTCAGAAATAAAATTGAAATGGTTTGACACCGAAATAGTTTTATGTGGGTTGAGTTATTTACAAAGTAAAATAGATATAAAATAGATTTTGATGGATTAAAATTTACAAATTGTTATTGAGCAGAAAATTTTACTTTCTTCACAACCTGATTATTAAATTTAGATTATTTTTGTAAAATTTGCGCCTTTTCAAAATTTAATCGTGTTATACGGTTATGGAATTCCGAGTGAATTGCCTCATTTCTGTTGGCTTCTGTATACTTGTAGATTCTCATATGAAGAATTTTGATAGCAATTCGACCAAATAGTTGGCTTAATTTCCCTACGGCTTTCTAATCAATATTTATCACCAGTATGTCAATACCAGTGTGTCAGATTTTTCCAGAATCGCGTCTTTCTCACGCAAATAATGTGGTAACGATCCGCTTTCTTTAACTAGTTATACTTTAGTTCGAGTTGGTATTACTTTCGTTACCGGTTTAGTAACAAATTCAATATAACGTGGTAATAATATGCTTAAGCTATTTACTTACGTTTTACCGAGTTGTTATTACTTTTTTTACCAGTTTAGTTGTAAATTCAATATAATGTGGTAATGATCTGCTTTAACTATTTACTCACGTTTCACCGAGTTAGTATTACTTTTTTTACCGGTTTAGTAACAAATTTAATACTCGGTAACAACAAATTACCAAACCTGTAACATATTTATTCATTTATATCCAACTGAAATTTCTATCCAGCAAAATTATTACCAAATCGATAACAAACCTCAGTTGTTGGCCACATTTATTTACTACCAAATTATTATTTAGAGTGTACCAAAAGCCTAAGAAGACAACGCCACCACGCACGCACGAAAAGTCGATCTTTATGTCATTACGTTAAGTGAGTTGACAACAACTTTTATCCATAAGTCTTCTCTATGTAGGAAATTGTGCCCATCTCAACAGCGTATTATTAATATACCATGAAACGTAAGATGCTCACCGGTAGTTAATAATAAGTTGGGCGCAGAAGATGAGGATATTATTTCCCTGAAGATTGGTCGATTTTGTTTGCCGTGTACCTTTCGGATGCATCAAACCCAGTTCGGGAGGTTGCCATTAATGGGTGGCGTGGAAGATATGCTACGCAATTAGGGTAGTTTTTTTAGAAAGAAAATATAATTCTTTATAAAAATTTGGGAAAATAAGTAAGTCTATTCTAAGTTAAACACCTGTTTAAATTAAATATTAACTTCAAATCTTCATAAAAAACAAAATTGACTCCTAACTTTGACAAAGTAAATTTCTTGCAAATTATGACAAATAACGACAAAATAATTGCAATCTTATTTCAAAATCGGGGCAAATATTCTCAACAAATTTGATCCAATTACGAGAAATGAGTATAAATTATTATCAGTGTAAATTTACGATCAGATTTTAGTATATGCATCGATTTCTTGCCAAATTATGACAAAATAATTGCAATCTTATGTCGAAATCAGGGCAATTTTTTCCAAAGATTACGAGATATGAGTACAAACTATTAACTTATAAAATCCCTATCAGATTTTAGTAAATATATGTATCGATCCATCTTAATTTAAAAAATTCCCACTTTTAACCCTATTTCCATCGTCGTCGGGTCGATTGAACCACGCGCATCTTACCTTCTTCTTCTCGGCTGGTTTAGAATTCTGACCTGATAATCAACATCAATCTAATCGTAAGCCTAGGACGGAATTGGAATGATTTTCGACATGCATGATCCCCGTCGACGCGATGCCCTGGGGACACCTCGTCCGAATCCGGAGCACATCTCGTCAGCAGAAAGGCGCAATTTTCTCTACTCTCAATTTACGATTTATTACTCCCAAATCCATCTCGATGGGTGTGTCCTCCTGACCTGAATGGAAGAAGTAAGAAGTTTGCTGGGCAGATTTTCCCTCTTCGCAAATTGTCTTCTTGTTGCGAAATTGATGGCGAAAAATAAAATTGCGAATTTTTTTTCTTCTCTTCTCGAGGACCATTATGTATACATGGAAGGAAGGAGTAGTGGTGGAGTTGGGCTGGGAGAAAGTGGGATTTCGAGTGGGTGGTGAAAGTGGAGTAAGCAAATCTCCACTTTCACTTACTTATTACTTTGAGAGAGAGAGGGGTAAATTTGATCCAGTGGAGAAAATGTCCTCGATTCGAGATCAATCAACACGTTGCAAATCTATTCTCGAGAGGGTTATCTTACACAAGGAGGTGGATAAGTGGTGCTGGCCGAGCTTCTTCATTGGGACGGAAATGGTAGGGAAAATCTGGCTTGGGTTCCAATTTGTGGAGTATTTGTTACACTGTAAATAATGCGGGCACAAAATTCCCTATTTTTTCGCACAATTTTTATTTGGTAGAAATTAAGTTTTTTGCCATGCTGGAATCATTTGTCACCGCGTTGTTGATAAAATTTGGAACAATTTTTTACTACCTTGATAATTTGTAAATTAATTCGGTGACAATTTTGTTACCAAATTGTAAATACTTTTTTCTCATGATTTTTATTTGCCAGAAATTAATATTTTCTACAGTTGGAATCAATTTTCACTTCGTTATTGGCCCGATTCGGATCAATTTTTTACCAAGTTTGTACTTTCCAAATTAATTCGGTGACAATTTTGTTACCAAATTATTTAGAGCGTTCCAAAGAACGTCTGTTTTTCTCAGAGGTAAATAAAAATTGAGATTTATGTACATTTACCGCATGGTAGTTTCCACAGGTGGATTTATATATTTATTGCTCCCCCAATTTATATTTACTCGGTGTAATCTTCTTAGCGCAATTTGTCCTAATAATGGTGACCATGATGACATCGTGTAGTCGGGGATTATTTCTCGGTTGTATGTAATTTCCTGCCAAATTTTCACCTTAAGACACATTTCTGTTGTCAATTCAGGAAAATGAGACAAGATAAATGGGTGTGGTTTCTGCTTGTGAGTAATCAATTTATTTTTGTCGTAATGACACGTTCAACAGATTCCACTTGACATTTGGAGTCTTATTTGTTGTTCGGGGTTTTGTTTTCCAGCCTGCTCTCTGTACCATACTTACTTTCGTAGGGTTAATAATGTCAAGTAAGTGAGTGAGTAAAGGAGGGGATCATTAGGACAGCGTATGGCAGAAGAGAGCAGACATCATTCATCATTGACGTCATTGTGTATGGGGTGATCTACAGTAGAATCTTTGAAGAAACAGAGAGAAAGAGAGATGTATCGTATCATATATTGACATATGAGAAGTATGGTACACTCTAATAAATAATCCGGTAAAAGGAAGTTACAAAGATTGGTAACAGGTTTGTTTAACGTTTATAATTAGACCTTTTTCATCATAAGAAATATATAAAAATGGTATAATTTTAATGCACAAACCATAATTTGTTTTATTTTTTTGTTTTCTACCGATTGGTGACAAATTCCAACAAGTATTGTCGAAATTATTGGTAATACCTTGGTAAAAAATCATATTTACAAATAGTCTTCCCGGTAACAAAAGTTATCATTTTGCTATCGAGTTTGGCAACATCGCAGCTACACACAAAACTTGTAGTCGTTTGACACCGATTGGTAATAAATTTAAATTTCGTATACGTCATATGTCATCTAGATGGGCGGCTAGCGTTACCAAAATATCAGTGTTAATTATCACATATATGTATGCAAAATATTCACCATTCATTTTAGCAAAATAGTTCCCAATTTATTTAGAGTGTGGATGATATTTGGTTCATATTATTATTTCCGAAATTGGATTTCACGTTATTACCCGGCTAGGAGCATGTCTTCCTTGCGGGGAGGAGACGATGTTGGGCTAGGAAGCAATTAAAACTTAAATGGGAGCATAATTTGAAAGTAATTGAATCACAGGGTAGAGTAACACGCAAGTTAAGCCTGAGCACAAAGTGAACATATCTCGTCGGCCTAATATTATTCATCTCCTTGTCCTCCCAGTAAATGGGAGAGAATTGGGGTGAAAGCCGAGTGGGTGGTGAAAGTTGGGAGATGAAATGAAAGTCAGAATTGAGTAGTTTGACCGGAGGCTTAAATAATATTTTCTGTTTTGGGTACTTTATCATGACGTCGAAATTAGAAGTGAATGATTTTCAGGGTGGGAAAAACGGAAAATTAGGTAGTTTTATTATTATGCGCATAGTAATTTAATATTATATGGACATATGTATGTGTAGGTCGTATATATCTACAAATAATGCGTAGATTTATTATTAATACGAAGAATTAATCCCTGGACGAAATGAAATGTAAATGACTTTACAACATGATAATGATCCTAAATTAATTTAATTACATGGAAGTTTTAGTGAGTAAAATCGAGGAAAAAGTGTACTTTATTAATTATTTGTCAGTATTTCAAATGAGCTCTGCAATTCATTATCGGTATACAATAAGTGTACACCGGCTTGAATACAACATAAACTTGTAATTACTTGTAAGATACTTAATCAATTATCTTTTTTAATTACACTTGTAATTTGCAGATTTGTATGTTCTCAGATTTCAAAATAACGATTTCAAAATTTTTGTAATAAATATAGAGAATCCATCATATCATCAAAATTTTAGAAATGATTTAAAATATTTCCCTTAAAGCGTCTAAAATTTCTGTAATACTTTAAATAACGAAATAATTAATGATTTGTCTTATTTTTTTGTTTTCAGCTGTCCCTCATATTTCCGAAAGAGGATTCCCTGCATAACGGGATCCTCGCGGGGTGTGACCGTCTCGCGTGGGAGCCTGGCGTCAGATTGACCAGCATACCCGACCAGCTCAGCTACCTGGGTCACGACCCGTTCGGCATTAATCTCCTCCTGCTCGACTACCGACAACCAAAACTCCTCCCTCTCAACATCCTCCCCGTCATCAGGTAAGTAAGAGCAATACGAAATTATCGCTAAAAAATTAATCACATCACCAAAAAAATCATCAATTTATTTGCAATGTGTCTCAAGTTAACTTTTTATTTTTCACTGAAGTTCGTATAATTTTGCGGAATATGGCGACTTAATGAAAACTTGAATATTAAAGTTTTAAAATTATTAAAGTTTTAAAAGGGACATGAAATTAATCCACCTTTTAAACGATATTTCCCATAAAACTTAAAGTTTTTAAACTTTATGACGTCTAAACTTACCACATTTTAAAAATTATTTGGGGAAATACTTAATTGCAATTCTTCAAAAAACGCATGGTTTCTTTTTTAAAGTTAGCATGACTTATAAAAATTGTTCAAAAATACGTTTTGCACACGAGAAATGATCACCTTTGTCATTTATTTAGCAGCACGAACGATGTGTATCTCATGAAGTTTAAATATCACTGGAAAAACTAGGGTTTCATATTATTTTTGATTTATTTTTAGGCTTAAATTCTACAGGAGAAATTTACCTTACTTTTTCCCAAATTTTTTCCGAGTGGAAGATAAAATATAGTTAAGAAACCCTGCAAACGAAATTTCATTCCCAAAATAATTTCTTATTTGAGGGAAAGTTTTGTGGTTGGTGGTTTCGCGGAGGAATGCAATCCCGGAATTTTTTGGTTTGGTTTCCTCCACGGAACAAAACTCGGTCAGTTTTAGCCGGTTAAGGAAGAAAGTTAATAATAATATTTCTATGCGGAAACCAAGTCACGACTCCACTCTAAATAATGTGGTGACAAAAAGTTGTATTATCAACAAGGTTTCGTAATTTGGGAGACTGAATTGAATTAGAATTTGACATTGTTAGACTTGTGAGTCAATTGTGATTTTTGTATGCGGATGAATTATTTTAATAGTATTTTAGATGGTTCATCGATCTGCGGGAAGGATACAGGTTAATGTTCAATAATTTCTAATTCCACAAATTTTAACATTTACTACCCTCTACTACTTTGCCTTGGCACCTCATTTACATAAATCTTAATATACCCATTTTCTGCAATACGGGCTTTCCATGAATATTCGAATAGTTTATTCAAATAAACTCTGTCTCTCGCGAATTAGTAAAAAATATGCAAGTGAGGTGCCAAGCCTAAGTACGAAGATGGTATGTGTCATTTGCTAAACTAAAAGTTATCGAAAAGTATATTTTTATTTGATGATAAATTTTTAAAAGTGCAAAAATTTTCATAAAGTTGTATACCTTTATTTAGAATGGTAAAGAGTTTAATTTTTTTTGCAACTCCCATAAAACTCCCATGTCTGTTCTTCATTTATAGCTGAGCATTTATAACATAACTCAACATTTGTAACTGAACTGGTTACAAATTATTACAAATCTTGATAAAGTTAAATTTTAAGCCCAGAGTTCTTACTTTCCTCACTTTCAAATTATTTAGTGTGCATTTTTCTTACATAGGAAGCCAGAGAGTACCGAATTGGAATGAAGAAGAGTAAGGAAGGAATTTCATCTCGGTCAGGGTTCACGTTCAGCGAAACATTAACTTCCTCTCTCTGTGCAAAATCCATAATAATAAAGGGGAAAGATTTCTTCCGACTCTCTTCCTTGTCCCGACTCCCTTTTTGATTTTCTTTGCTTCAGACCAGGTGAAATAAGTAGGAAAAATTGGTTTTGGAATTCAATTGTTTGCTGTAAAGGGTGTAGTTTAACAAAAATTTTGGCAAATTTTAAAATTTCTGGTATTTTTTTTTATAAATGCAATTGTGCATTTTGTTTTAAAACGAAATCAATCTCATTAAATGGGAGAAATTGCAAATATTTCATAGCAAGATCATTGGAGCAAGTTTAAAATGCATTTCTGTGATCCAATCACATTAATATGGAAAATTAACCTAACCAAAAATCCGATCTCAACACATGTAGCAAATGTCAACTTTCTTGAATTTTACTTTATGGCAGCAAAACATAACAAATTTCTGTAAAAGCTGCCGATTTTCGTGGAAAGCTAAAAATTTTCGACGAATTAAAAATATTAACTAGGACTTGTACAAAAATGCTTTAAATTTTAAAAAAATGTCCAGGTGCTGAATAGATCGGAAAATAATAAACGAAAAAAAGTGGATGGATACACAGGAAAAAAACCTGATTTTCCAACGATTTTACTCTTAAACTGGGACCGAGATATTGACAGGTTTGCAAATATTTGCCGAGTGAAAGTGCATAGTAGATAGTCAAGAGGAAGACGAAGGATGAGGTGGGATCAATTTTTTCTCTCTTGGATTTCCCATAGGTCGAGAAAGTTTGGTGAATTTTGTGAGAAATCTACAAGGCTTTGAACATGAATATCTGAACAGGTTTTGGAAAAGAATTTATGTTTAGTTTCGCATTAAAATATGCAAATATTATGTTAGATCATGCACGTGTGCAACAAGTAGAGTGGAATCCGGATCAGTGTTTTTAAGGGGAAAGTGTAATAGGCATACTCACTTCAATTCACGGCAAACTAACAAAAATGTGGTAAATGGCGATTTAGACTTTCCGTTAAAAATTAAATTGCAAATAAAAATTCGCAATTTATATGTACACAGTTGCAAAATCTGTCATGTTAAAGGTTTCAAATTTGAAGAATTAACTTAAAATTGTGAAGGTTTTTTTAAGCGAAAAACGGGTAAAAAAATTCATTTTCCAAAATAATCGGAAGTTGTACCCAGATTTCAATTAAGTATTATTGGAAATAGTTGATTTTTTGCAAAAAAAACACGAAAATATGAAATCTTTAACCTTTTGTAAATAAATTGCTTCTTATCCAGCCCAAAATTGTACACGTTTTAGCGACACATTTTGCCGTTTTTCTTTTACCTACTAGCATTATTTTTCCTTTTGAGATCCGTGTGTAAGCCGGAAATTGAATCTAATTCACGTTTTCTTGCCGTTTCCTGCTTTCCAAAAACTACGTTTCCGATCAGATCACACAATTATGAAAGATGTTTTTTGTATGCCTACCCACCATACCATTTTCTACAGAATTCTCATAAAGATTTACGTACACACGTATGTACGTCAGTGCTGTTTGTTGTTTAGGTTTAGAGTTGGCAAACACGAGGAAAAAAGCAATATGTTTCCTGCCTACAGAAGAGAGAGAACTGAATAAGACGAAATTGAGATGAAAGATCCGTACCGAGAGTTCAAAGATGAAAACAAGCTTTGTCTAATTTTAGGTCTTTCCAAATTCTGAGAAAACTGCTCCAATTTGTTTTGTCGAATATTATGTTTGCTTAGTTCACTAACGTGATAGATATGTAAAATATATTGAAAACGGATATTTGCTCAGGTGTGGTTTCGTATGTGGCTGTGGCGATGACGAGTAATATTAAATTTGGGTATTATGTGTGTAGTTTCACCTCAAAATTATTATATTCTGGGGGAAAATAAGTTTGTGGTAACATTTTCGGGCTGGTTGGTTGTTAGATGTGAAGATTAGGATTGGTCATCCGGTTGTATTTCCGGATCGGATCCAAGTTATGGTAAATTTTCTGATAAAAAACCGATCCGATCCCACGGATCGGATATTATCGGATCGGTTCTACGAACACTAGTAGATTTCTGTTTCTGGGATGGGGCACGCTAAGAAAATTTTTAAGGACCAGTTTGGTCGTGTTTTCGAGTAAGAGGAGTAATAATTTGTGTTACCAATGCAATAGCTTGTTTGTTGCAAAATATGTTACCAATTTGGTAAAATTTTTAAATTATGTATTTCTAGTTCTGACTTAAAATTCGGTAAAATCATATGAAACAAGTTGTTACTGATTTTCAAACGTTTGCCTAACATTTGGTTTCGCGCGAAATTCAAATTGGTTACCAACTTGGTACCAAGAGTTCTGTACCTTTTACACAATTTTGATACTTTTCAGTGGTTTTCTTCCGGGGTTGTGTGTGGTTGTTGAGTGGGACGAACATAAAAGAAGAATATTCTATTTAGCTTGAAAACCGAGAAAAGAAAATGTGTCACATTTCCCACGACATTTACACATATTCAATCCACCTGTCATGTCGAGTACGTGTTCATGTGACATGTGTCATGCCATTTAATACGTCGTGTTACACCGCTATACATATGTGCATATGTGACATACGAATAAAGCAAGTCTCTAATGAGAAAGAAAGCCCAGATTTTTTGCAGATTGCGAGCAAATCGTCTAATTTTTATGAAATTGAGTTGAGAAGAGGGATTTCTTTTCGTACAGGAAATGGGGAGAATTTTATCAGGAAGTGGAGTAAGTGTGTACGTGCGTACTTTCTCCTTAATGAGATTACAGACTGTATGAGCACTCTAAATAATGTGGTAAAAACTTAGGGATTTATGATGAAGAATTTGTCACAAAATAAAAATTTGTCGCTAAATGACAGTTGGCAGGAGTTGTGCACTTGTGTAATTTGCCACGAAATTTGTCATCAATCGGCTAGCTTTACTCTTTACACAAGTAACTACAATTTAGTATGAATTGGCTTATTATAGTTTTTGTTAATATCCTAAATCTATTCCAATCACTGTAATTGTGATTTATATTTCTTTTTTTATTTCTTAAAAATACAAAATAAAATCTTCAAAATTTTAGGAATGAATTTTTAAATTTCTACTTCCATAATGCTACAAATAATACATTACAAATGAATAAAAGATCTATTTTACTTTGTAACACTATTTTCTTTAAAAACCTATCGTTGACGCGATACTCGGACAAATTAAGAATTTTGAATTTTATGTTCGTTCAAATTGTTACCAACCCCAGAATAAGTTAATTCATTCCAACATTTGCTACCTCACTATTTAGAATGTAGTTTTGCCCACCCGGCACCAGTCCAGGTGGGTCGAGTCACTCAGTTCAACTCGATAAGCTTCAAATTCAATAAAAAACAATCGAGAACAAAAAAATCGAAACGGTGATTTCGTAAAAATGAGGTCGACTTGTGTGTCCTGATTTTTTATGAAATCAAATATTACACGAAATTAATTTTTTTATCGGTTCGTCGCTCTTTCATACCGATGCAAGAAACGCAATTTATACGGAAATGAGGAAACACAACGACGTCATTCTTTTCGAGAAACACAATCTTTTCTGAGTGAAAGAAATGAAATTGTATTTTCGTTTCTGATGGAATTTATGGTCTAAAAGTTCACCTGGTTCGGAAAGTTGTGTGATTTTGTCATGAAATAAATTGCGACATTGTTGAAAAGAAAATTGAATTTAAAATTGATTAGATTTTATTTTTGTCTAAAAAATATGTTTTTTTTTCTTTTTTGCAGATCTTTAAAGGATGAAAATTCTACCCTTGTTGTGGTAGCGTTTGTGAAAAAGAAGTAAGTTTTTGGTCAAATTTGTATACTTTTTAAGGAAAAAGAGAGATTTTTTTTAAAGTTAAGATGAAAATTTTGATGTATTTTGATAATTGTAAATGATTTTTACAATTTAGAATTTTACGATTTTATCTAATTTGGGAATTACATATTTCGGACATATTTTCCGACCAGAGTACCAATTAATTTGAGCAGTTGTTGTACTTGTGGAAATTGCAGCTCTCTCGACAAGTGTGAATCAGTCATTTGTAACTTGCAAGACTACGGAGTGGACTGGGTAAAAGATCTATTTATGTACTTAAAAAAATGCATATTTCAAAAATAATTATTTCAAATTATGAAAATTTTGCATTAAAAGCATTTCATATTTCGAAACCTGCCGTTCGCGCATTAAATTACATAATTAAAAAAATATTTAAAAAAATTCATATTAAAAAAACAAATTTAAAAAATTCTGTACCAAACACATTTCATATTTCAAAACCTCCCGTTTTGCAGAAAATTGCACACTCACAAAATTATTGTGTTAAATTTTACTAAAAAATCGACTTTCCCTCGCAGGTTGAGACAGACTGCGGACTAACCTCGTCCAACCACTGGCACCACCAACTCGCCCAATATGAGCGCTGCTTTCTCCTCCCAGCGCTCAAGTTGGGGTCGGCGAAAACCCTGCTCGTCGCGCTGGACCAGTGTCGCGACATGATACAAATTACAGACTCGTCCCATCGAATCCAAGTAAGTTCATGAATTGAAACGGATTATTCTACCTGTCTTGCTTTTAATTTTACTAAATTGTTAAAACTATTTCATTCGGCGTTAAATCTAATCTTAATTGAAATGATTGCAAAATTTTGGCACGAACTGAATCGCTGTAGATGCAGCTACTTATTTGGGAAATGGCAATATCCGTTGAATTGTAAATTGAATTTTTTGTGACCAAAAGAAGTTGTTTGTCGATAAAAATAATATATTTTTAAATTTTTTGTCGATCAAAGTAATTTTTTGAAATTTGTTGTCGGTCAAATTTTGTTAGTGAAAATCCAGGAAATCTTGTCTCGAATTTTTGTTGAGTTTACTTGTTATATACTCCAGTATTTTGTTACATAGCTTGCAAAAATATAATTTTATACTGAAATTCAATTGAAGATTAAAAATTTCTCTTGAAAAATGTAACTCTTTCATAAAAATTTGTCAATTAAAAATAAGTGGAGCTTTCACTTTACTTTTGTTACGTAGAGAATATTTGTGTTTGCACTTTGAGAGAGCAAATATTGACCCTGTTTCTGTGTCGCTTACAGTTTGTGAATCGAGCTTACGAACGGTTGATGGGCTACTCATGCGAGGAGATTACAGGATGCGACTTTCACGAATTGCAAACCCGTGGGGGTGGTGGGCACCATAACAGTTTGACCATGGAGCCCGACGTCCAAGGAAGGAATGACGCCAACAGTCCGACGACACTTAATACTGGGGGAAGAGTTAGTCCTGCTGGGGCAGCGGTAGCTACGACGAGTCAACAGGTATTTATATTCATAAATATTCAGATGGAAAGACAAATATTGTGCAATTCTTTTGCGAAAAAATTGCAACATGTGTGTCTGATGTGCAATGCGAAGTCGTAAATTAGGTACAGTCTGTTAGAACTTGTTGATCTGAGAATCAAAATTTGCATGTTACAGAGTAAATTTTAATAGAAATTTGACATCAAGGTTTAAATTTTGATGTTACTAAAATTATAAAGAATTATTTTCATTTTTGCGATTTTTTGTGCAAAATCTGCAACAAAATCAAGTTTCGTCCGATTTTTTTTTAGAAAAACATCCTTACTAAAATTAGTACCTAAAGTAGAAACCGAATGAAATTTGTGTCTAATTTCAGTTTTTTTGCATAAGCATTTTTTTGCAAAATCTGTGTCAAACTGGCAAAATGAAGTTTTGTCCGATTTTTGGCGAAAAATATGCTTCCTATAATGAGTAAAGTCGTAACTTAATGAATTTTTTCCTGATTGCAGGGTCAACACCACGGTCACCCATTGCCACCCCCGTTCCACGACCACTTGCTACAGGAAATATCTCACGGGAAGGAGTGGGAAGGAAATTACATGTACAATCCCAAGGCGGGCGACCCCATCTTTCTCAACTCAAAAGTCCTCCCCTTCAACGTCAACTTAAATCTCAACCCCAGCGTGAACCCCACAGGAAACGCCAACTACGCGTCTTCTTCCCCCACCTCTGATATTCTCGCCGGCATGACCAAGTAAATAAGTTTTAAAATATTTTTAGGATATTTTGAAAAAAAATCAGGAAACCGAACTTGTCATATTTTCCACATATCTTATAAAACCGAGTTCCTTGTAATTTCACTCTGGTATTTGTAACCTATAAGATTTACAAAACCAAGCGATACCCGTGATGAGTTTAGAAACGTTTGTAAGCTAAGTTTTCATCGTAATCTTTGCAAATTTGTAGATTTTATTGGTTGCAAACATCCGAGTGAATTTTTACAATACGTTTGTAGCCTTATTTTCCATCGTAATTCTTGTAAATTTATGGAAACTTTTGTAAATAAGTTTCCAGATTTTATTGGTTACAAACATCCGAGTGAATTTCTTCAATCGCCACATTCCTCCTGTATCAAATACTATCAAAGGCTAAATAGGGAAACTATTTTTAAACGACTATCCTGAAATTTGTCTAGGTGAAAGTGGGACAAATTTGGCTAAATGTTTGCAGTTTCCCCTAAATTTTACCACTTTTCTAAAAATGACTTTAGTCTAATTAAATTTGATTCCCTTGGCTTAGGTGCAAGCTGGGCTCGACGCACTACATTTACGTGTCGGACGTGCCGAGCGTGTATGCGGAGAAGGGGGCGTCGAGCGAGGTGGGGTCGAACCAGGACGTGGGGTACCCCATGCCCCGAGGGAGCCTCAAGTCGCTGAGGAAGGCGTCCTATGACATCAAGTCCATCAGCAATGACAGTGAGTGCTCCACTTTCTATCATCCCAATCCCCACAGACTGCCCACTTTATGGAACGCTTGTTGTGCTGCACTCTTAATAATGTGGGAGCAATTTGTTACCCGGAAGTCGGTTTCGGACTTATTTAATAAAGTAACACGCTACGACTGACTGACGATGGAGGTCTCCCAGCGTTTACTGTCAGATTTTGACACAAAACTAGTGCCAATCTATCACAAATTTGATTAATATGAAATTTACGAAAGACACGAGATGCGACACGAGACACGAGTTGAGAGGTTTGGCAGAGATATTTGTGTCCAAAGAGGAGAAATTGCCCACTAAAGTTGTCAAATTTTACAATTGCCAAATTTACTGCACGTTTTCTCCACTCGAATGCAAATTTCTCCGTCAAATTTGAGCTCGCGGATCGTGTATCGGTATATTTCAAATTTCATATCGATTAAATTTGTGATCGATGGGAGATCTCCATTGTGAATTGACAATAGTTTGTTACTATGATTTTGAATTTAGTACCACGGAAAGCAAAGTGGTAATCTAAATTTTGACTAAAGTACCAAAATTACTACATCTGTAGTTTCATATTTTGTAAAAAATTCCGGGTAACAGATTGTCACCACATTTTTTATAGTGTCAAGTCAGAGTTGGAAGGACGGAAAGGGTTAGAGATTAATTTGCATGTAAACCCCGTGAACCACTTTCCACTCACATCGTACGTCTACCCATTTCCTTGTCGTGTCTCGTTTTGTGCGACTTGTTTTGTTTCTTTGGTGAAATTCCTGACATTTGTGTGTTTTCAAAGATAACGAGACATTTCATACCTTTTTGTTTATATGCTTTGGAAATTATGAAAATGTGTTTCGTAATTTGTTAATGGGTTTCGTTATGTTATTTGTTTCAAGTGCTTTAAACAACCAGGGGTCACAAGCTTTTTGCAAATTTAAGAAATCAATGCAATTCGCAAATTTATTACTTTTGTGGGAAAATGTCCGCTTTCTCCGGCATGTTTTTTTACCGTGAGGTGTCCACAAGAATGTGACTCTACCGGTATGGTGATCGTGTTTGTTACTGATGAATCATCAGTAACAAACACGATCATCAGTGATGATATTAAAATTCATGTGGTCAGTTATCTATCACCGTTTGGTAACAAACTCTATTACCACCTCGGTACCGCACCGCAAATTGCCCATAATTCTACGAGTGTATGTACTTTTGTGTATGTATGTAGCTCTATCTATCTAAATGTTTCGTCAATTACAACAAAAAAATATTTATCAAATCTGATCCGTGTGTTTCTGTATTTTTTTCCGTTACGTCTTCTTCCTCCTCCCATTTATGTTGGTCCTGTCCAACCCGATGTGTCCTCCTCCTCCCCCTGCGCCGCATATTTTGATGACGGACATTTACTCGTCACTTCTTTTTCTGTCTTCCATTACTGGCTCGAATCCGCATCCGGGTGGCGCGGCGTCCTCAAATATGCACAATTCTGGGTGCGGCCCTTCCTCCTCGTCATCCGCGCCATGTTCAAATCCCAACCACCGCTCCTCCCTGGCCGACATTATGGACAAAGGTTCCATCCTGAGGAGGCAAAGTTTGGCGAAATTGCACTCACTCACGATCGAGGCGCCGATAACGAAGGTGATCAACATAATTGCCGCGGCGCAGCAGAACTGTCCCCTCTACATTGCCCAAGCGTTGGAGAAAGTGCTGGAAATTTTGAGAACGACGGAACTCTACTCACCCCAATTTTTTGAAGGGGGCAGCAAAATTAAGAGTGATGATCCATTAACGACCGATCTGTTGGGAGCGTTGTTGTCGGTAAGTGAGATCTTTAATCAATTGTTATGAACTCTGAAAATTGTGGGATAGTGATAAATTGAAAAACTTAAGATTTTTTTGGGGCAAAATTTTGGAAAACTACTTTTGAGAAATTTATATGCAAAATATAAGTGATGCACATGCACATATTTACCATTACTCGAAACGCGACGGCGTAAAGTAAATGCAAATTTTTGTTAACGTTATTTAAATGAGAACCTTCACAAGAATCTATAACCTAAGAATAAATGTTCAACTACTTATTTCCTAAAAATCAGTAATTTGCATTATATTTATAATGAATCTTGATGCCTGCATTTCAACAGGGAATTTTTATCCTTCATTCGCCTGAATTAAATATAAGCCAGTCAAAAATCCTTTTTCTTTCAGTTAGATAAATAAGGCTTCATTTTTCATCATTTTTAAGAAGGGCTCATTTAGGCAGTTCATGTTTTGTTTAATGAATGCTCTTTACCCCATTCATTTTTAGAAAGCTTGACTTGTTTTTATCAATCTTATCAAGAGATTTTCTTCCTTCGCTTCAATTTACCTGTAAAGACGCCCATATTTTTTTAGTGAGAACGTATATCTATTTTATTTCGCAGAGAAAATTCAACTTTCCAATATAAACGTTACGTAAGAGAGATTTTTGTCACCAAATCGGATCGTGACAACTACGCATATTGCCATTTCTATTCGTCCTTATTGGTAGAAAAAATCTGTACAAAAAATGTTGGCTTAGCGTACAAATACTCCTCCAAAATTAGCACTCGTAGCTTTACAATCGTCAGTGTGACCCATTTTGTCATCATCACAAAAGATAAAATTACTTAGGCAGACGGAGGATCAATTTTATTTCGAGCTTTTATCCCGTGAAAGGGGACGGCGGATGAAAATGTCTTGTGACGGATTTACTCTAGTTTTTCGCCACTCTGGTCATGTTTGACCATTTATTTCCCGGCTGGCTTTTGACTCGGGGAGAAAGCAAAGTGAAAGTATGAAGCAAATCTTTCTTGACTTAGTCACTTCACGGGTGAGTAAATCTCATCTCGCTTTTATTACACCGTCGAGTCCCTCCGTCCAACTTTCCCATTATATTTCTGTCCATCTTGTAAAGACCAGGGTGGACCGGAGACGGAGTGAAAGTAGGGTTTCGGATCAAATGGTTTTTTAGCGAAAGGATAGTTTTGTAGATTTAAAATTTTTAATGAATGTGCTCAAGTCAACCTTTGCAAATTGAGCACTGCAACATATTTAAGTTGCGAAGCTTTACGAAATTTGTGAGAAAAAACAACATCAAAAACGGTGTATTTAGATTTGTGAACTTTACGAGATTTGCGAAGTCATATTTTACGAATTTCGTCACGATACAAATTTTTTGAGCTTTGCAATTTTGATAAATGAGTTGCGATTCGAAATAAGACTTGTGCCCAATAAAATTTTGAGACAATTCACGTATTCCTTGGTAAAATCCTTGTAAATTCCTTGTAAAATCTGTAAATTTGTTAAATAATTTTACAGATTTTTACAAAATAAAAACACCCTTGATCTGAGTAAACTTACAAAAATGTATTATCTAGTTTTTCTTAGAAATATCTATAAAGTTTGTGAGTTCAAGGATTTTGCGGAATTTATAAAGTTGCCAAAGACTGGGTGAATTGCTATTTATAAAACTGTATAGTTTTGACGACAAAAAATAATTATTAAATCACGTGAGTGATTAAATTATAATTAAAGATAAATTCAATCTTTCCCGTTAATGGATCAAAAAGATATGCATGAGTACAATTTCCGAGAATTTTGTATTCTTCAACTTTAGAACACATTAGAAGGCTAACTGATAAGGGTTAAAAATACTTTTTAACCATAAAATTCCCCAAAAATGCATAAAGTTAGAATTGCACATTTTCAAAATTACATTTTTTTTTGCAATGTATACCCTAAAAAAGTTGGCTTGACGGAGCACTGTGCACAAATAAGGAGCCAAGCGACCATTTTACACTTTCTCTTTCTCCCACTTATCCTGGATTATTGGGTTCGTCATCGACATCCACCCACTCACCCATCAACCAACTTTCTATTTTCACGCAGTAATTGACCTATCCACTCGGCACAACAAGGGAAAGGAAAACCCTTTGATACGATTGGAATCTTTACGCCAAATTGGACCAGATTCCGGTCGCGATTTTAGATTTCTTTAAAAACAAATTGTTACCAATCAGGGGTTTATTGGGCTGGAAATGTTTTATTAGAAGGCATTAAGGCTTCTGTAAAAGTACGAGGTTTTATTACCAATTGTGTAAATTTTTATTAATTTGGAAATATATTTTTTTTAAAGTACAGATTTTTACCAATTTGTTTACGTAGTTTTATCAGTGGTAATTATCAACTTGGTAGAATCTGATTCTTGTGCTGCTATGAGTAATTTGTGCATCAAGAAGTTTGATAAGATTCTTTTGAAGAAGTACACATGCAGAATTTTTACCAATTTTACCAATAGTTTTACCGGTATGGTAATTATCAAACCGGTAGAATCTAATTCATATGCTGCTGCTATGAGTAATTTATGCATCAAAGAATTTGTTAATATTCTTTTTGAAGAAGTACACAATATTTTTACCAGAGTTTTACCGGTGTGGTAACCGTGCTAATTACCAAACCGATAGAATCTAACTCTTCTCCTGCTTCGAATAATTTTTTTAAGAAATTTTAAATCCCAATCACTCCAAAATTTCTTAATTTTCCAATTTTTCTCTCCCCCAACAGCAAGGCCCCCGTCTCTCCACAACTGGGCGACGCTCCTCCAACGAGAACACTGCATCACGCCTCGCACCCCGCCCCTCCCTCCCCGACATCGCCGAAGCACCCACAAGTCTGCAAAAATTACTGGAAACAGAGGAACGCTGGAGCTTTGATGTCATTCTACTTGAAGAAATCACGGAAAAGAGGTAACTAAAATTCCATCCGATTGACTTACGTGACCCAATCAAAATTAATTAGTTTCACGATAACTGGACCGGAAATGGTATCCAGAGAAAAAGACAAAAGAGGGCGAAATTGGCTGCATGCGTGTGCGCGATTTAGTGCCAAATTTGTCCTACTTAGAAGGGAGGAAGTTTATTCGCAAATTGCGAATTTTGTCGAGATTGAGATTCGAAGAAATCGTGGCGGGGGGAGGAAAGTAATTAATTAATTTGTCGTCATTTAGCGCAACAGTAATCTCGTGGACGGATTGAGCCCAATCGGATAAACTTAAGCTAATTAATTTACGGAAGAAGAAAGAGAAAGCTTCATTCGTAGGAAGGAAATTGGAGAGTTTGTGCTGCTGCTTTCTCTTCTTTCTGTTGCGTCCGTCTCATCAAATAATTCGGGCGAATTTCATTTCATTACTTTTACTGAGAAAGTCGTCCTCTTCGGAGGAGAAGAAGGGATTAGAGGAGAGAGACGGGAGAGAAAGTTGGGGTTCGCTGCACACTAAATAAGCTGGTAGCAATTTATTACCGATGGTTATATCGTGTTTTTGTAGTAAGTGGAGGTTCACGGCGTCTACATACGCTGGGTAATAAGTTTGTTACCGACTTATTTTTAGTGAGACAAAATTTTAATGGCTACGTTTGGTTGCAAATTACATATTTGGCAAATAATCAATTGTAAAATTATAATAAATTGTTACCGGGTGGTAACACATATGCATATGTAGAGAAACTTCCAATTCTAATTATTTTATTTTATGTATACCGAATAATTTCCCGCAATTACTCCCTGCCGTTGATCTGCGTAAACTTACAAAAATTTGTAAGCTAATTTTCGCACAAAATATCCATAAAAATTTGTAAGTTTACGAATTTTACAAAGTTGCCAAAGACTGGGCGAATTGTTTTTTTATAAAACTGTATAGTTTTGGCGACAAAAAAGGATAAGTATCACGTTAGTTATACAATTCAAAATAAAGATCTAGCTCATCATTTTCAGTAATTTGTAATCAAGTTATTGACTACTGTTCAGCTAATATCAATAGTCTTAAAAAAATCTGAAAGGTTTCCTGGCAGATATTTCATATATATTTAAAGTCTAAGTAAGCTCTAAGAAAATTTTCCAAGGAATTGAGACTATTATGTAATATTGGCTGAATAGTAGCAGTAAATAATAATGGCACTATTGTTTAGAGTGTTCGCAACAAAGAAAGCAGGTACCTAAGTAAGTTGGACCTGTAAGTAGGCACGTCTAACTAGGCAGGCACACATTTGATACCTCATTTATTTTACTTTCACTTTAAATTTTCATTAGAAGGGAACTTACCTACTTCGTTTGGTTCTGGTCAATTTTATGTGATGAGGTAATTCCCCCGAGTCTCCCGACGTAGATAACATACTTATCTCTATTTTGTTAAAAATCCACCTGCCGTCTCGCTCTCGGTCGTGGTAGGCGCCTTGATGAGGTGAAAGTTTTTCCTGGTTTTTGAGCAGAACACGCACTTTTAGCTGGGCTGGTGCATGTTTTTTGCACGGAATTTTGAGGACGAGATAGTAAAGAGAGTAGGGAAGTAAAGGTTGATTTTGAAGATAGGCAGAGCAGACGGAGTGGATACAGAACTTAGGAGGAGACTTTCTCTTTGAAAGGAAGAGAAAGTTTTCCGGAGTTTAAACTTTATTTATACACTCTTAAAAATTTGGGGTAGTTTTCTTATGAGAATTTGATCTTAAAATATTGCTAAATTGGTAACAAATATTTACCAGATTTTTAGCTTTATTTATACACTCTTAAAAATTTGGGGTAGTTTTCTTATCTGAATTTGATCCTAAAATATTGCTAAATTGGTTAGTAACAAATATTTACCAAATATTTACCAGAGTTTTAACTTTATTTACACACTCTTAAAAATTTGGTGGTAGTTTTCATATGAGAATTTGATTCTAAAAACAAAATTGGTAACAAAATTGGTAACAAATTTTTACCAAGACTAAATTGGTAACGTTAGACAGAAAAAATTTGATAGGGAAGCGCGTGATAGTGCTCATTTATATAATTCCATGCCGTGTGTGACCACCAATTTTTTAATACAATTTTTAAGAGTGAAAAGCAGGCAGAGAGAACGTGTCCCTTACAAAAACTCTGCTTTTCTTAATAATGCCTTCTTATTTATTCGTACCCACTGTTCCGTTATTGACGTGTGCACACACTTTACGTACACATATTTTCCTCATTAATCCTAATAATAGTGGCGACTAGAGAGAAAGTCCTCAGACAATTTTTTATGTATGAACTCTGTATTTTTTTGTGCACAAATAATGCAGCCTACTTACTAATACTTGCTTACTCTGTCCTATTTTCAAAAAAACATCAATCATTTCGTAAATGCAGGAGGTACTTGGAAAAGAATAGGAGAACCTTATTAAAAATGACACACTAAAAAAAAGTTGGTAACAAAATTGGTAGTCAATATTACTACTATTATAAGTGAATACTAGGAGGCTTTACCGCAGTGGTAACGATTTTCCGTTGAATGGTAACGATTTTATATTCCAGAAATTTAAACTTGCAGAAATTGACCTCATTTAAATTTACAGAAATTGTCCTCATCTAAATTAGTGCCACCCTTTGCAGAAAAATCATACTATGAGGTTTTACCGGGTTGGTAACAGTATACGGTCGAATAATATATTCCCGAAATTACAATTTTCATAAATGGTTCCCATTTAAATTCCCGCATAGAAAAACCATTACGGACGTGGTCCCAATTTTGCCATCATTTTATTACGAGTGCATTAATAATTTCCACAAAATTTCCACCGCCGTCAAGCTCGTTAAAGCAGCTCGTTAAATTTATTTGCCAGGAAATGCAAATACAACGTCGTTACGACACGTTATGAATTTTGCGTTATTAAAATTAGTAGTGAAAAATTGAGCCAGGATTATGGGAACTCAGTCAGTTTGTGTTTCCTCCGTGAAAAAAGGATGAAAGAAAGTTGTTGTTGTTTTAATCTGGGGGAAAGTTTGGCTAGGAGTCTGTTGTGATAAAAAGAGTAGATGTTAATCCAGGACACATATTGTCTGGAAGCTATTTATTTAGTAGTCTCTCTCCCAAGATCCACTTTGCTTAAGTTTTTTTAGCCTCTCTCTAGTCAAGTTCCTAGATTAAACTTGGAAACTTGGTTCGGACACTCTTAGAAATTATGGAATATGGGAGTTTATTATAATTTGGTAATAAATATTTTACCGGAAATAGTAACACTTTAAGATGTGGGGTAACAAAATTGTAATGGAAGGGTACAATGATTTTTAGAAAAATTGTTACTCTCAGGGAAATGTTGGTATTACTAGTCAGCCAATATCAATAGTCTGAAAAAAATCTGAAAGGTTTCGTGGCAGATTATTTTATATTATTTTCCTAAACTAAATAACCTCTTAACAAAATTTTTCAAGGAATTGAAACTATTAATATCGGCTAAACAGTAGTGCGTTAATAAAATGCATATTTTTTTGACCATTTGTTACCACTACTTAATAATTTTGTTACCAAACTAATATGAGTATACAAATTTGGTAGTATAATTATGCCACAATTATCTTTAAATGTGACACCGCTACTTCCGGGCCTTAAAATTACAATATCTATCTTGACCCGTAGAGTCAATTACTGACCAAAATTCATCTCAGATTTTTCTAAGAGTGAAGCTACTTATGCTTTTTGAAGATGCTCTCCTCCTCCTTCTCTTCAACTACTTTAGTTTTTAACGGATAAAAACTCTACCAACTTTTCCCCCCACTCGAAAAACCAAAATGTTGTCGTCCATAAAATGGCTTTATTATAAAGTAAAAACTTGTGTTTACGATTTCTGTTTTCAGACCTCTCGTGTGGCTCGGAATGACAATATTTGCGCGATTCGGCGTCGCCCAAGTTTTGCAGACGGACGAAGCTACGCTTAGAAATTGGTTGACACTTATCGAAGCGAATTATCACACTACGAATTCGTACCATAATTCCACCCACGCGGCGGACGTGATGCAAGCCACCGCCTACTTCTTGTCGACGGAAAGACTGAAAGGCTTCTTGGAACCGTTGGACGAAGTTATTGCCCTCATCGCAGCCGTTGTGGTAAGTATAGCTCAATTTTTAATTTTAATTGGGAATTTTTAATAATTCACGTTTTTTTGGGAATTGAAGCATGACGTGGATCATCCAGGAAAAACGAGGTGAGTCATTTTCATAATTTCCAAATTTGGGAAAAAAAATTTGCGAATTGGTTTATCATTGCGAAAAAATTTTTTAGGCAAAAAATTGAGCGTCATCTAAATACATACTAATTTTAGTATTAATAGTATGACAGCAAAATAGTTAGGGAGCGTCCATAAATCACGTGATCGATTTTGAGGCCCCCTCCCCCCCCTTGGTGACCAATGATGATAAATTAAGTACCCCCCCCCCTGCGGTCACGTGACAGTCAGACAAATTGCACAAAGCAAACTATGTGTGTTGAACATACTATGTTCCCTACAAACTATGTTCTTGGGTAGATTAATAATATTATTATATTATTAATAATTTTATTACTAAATCTGCAATTAAATTAAATTTCAAGATATGTAAAAAAATTACTTACTAATATATGTATAGTAAAAACTGTAATTTGGCATGCTTAGCGTCTGGAGAACAAGCGTATGTATTACCGTACTTATTGTCAAACATAATGATATACTGATCAGTTTGTACACCAAATATGTCAGATATTTAAATATGCAGATAAGTGTTTTTAATAGAAATCGTTATTCAATGTCCGACATCACAGTAAAGATATTATTACGGAATTATAGAGGTAAAATTTTATTTGGCAAATCCGACCTAGAATATGAAGTAAAACACAGGCCAGCTTACTGTACTTCAAAAATTTAAAAATACGTCACACAACGAATTTTAGGTGAAAGATATTGGGCTAAGCAAATCTTATCAAACTTATTTAATTTGCGTTATATTCAAAATATAAATATATTGGCACGTTTTAGTACCAAAAGTAAAAAATCTTTGCTTATTATGTCACGCGTGTCACGTGCCTTCTGCCATTACCCCCCCCCCCTATGGTGATAATTGGTGACAAATTTCAGACCCCTCCCCCCCTTGAGTCGATCACGTGATTTATGGACGCTCCCTACATAAAAATTTGCGAATTTCATAATTGCGAAAAAGTTTACAAAATTGGTGTCCTAATTTGAATCATATGACTTCAAAACAGTTTTGAGGCTGAAATTCAAAATCTGACATTTTATCGGCTAGAAGAATGAGAATTATTTTTATAGAAATTTAAAATTTTATCTGGTGAAGTTTAAAGTCAAGTTTTGTTTTGATATATATTTTGAATAAATAAATGAACGAAAGGTTCGGGTTGCCTTTTCGTGGTTTTGAAATCGGTCTAAAGTTGAGTATTATTATTTTACGTAAAAACGTCTCGAGTTGAAATTTATGTTTCTCAAGTTTTATTGTACTTTTACTTCGCACGTGTCTCTCCATTTTGCGTCTCCAACGAAGGTAGAATAATGTATTTATGAAACCAGGTTATCATAGAAAGTTTCATATACACTTGGGAGATATTGGAAATTTAGTAGAGTTTTCCGTAGAAAGAATGGAAGTTTTCTGGAAGTGGACTGTTATTTTTGGGAAATCTAAATAATTCGGTATAAGTGTTTCTGGTGTGGCTCGCATCGCTAAATTAGAATTCAATTTGTTAAACTTATCTTTAGGGGATCTTATCTCATGACATTACAAGAATTATTACCATATCCATAAATATTTTAAAAAGTTGAAGTGTCGTAAATATTATTTTATCAATTTATAAATTCAACTATGATATTGAACTTTCTAGTAATTAAATACCTGTCAAATTCTATATTTATCTTTCCCTCGCAACTCAACAAATTTTGATCTGCGTTATTTTTATCGGTGTTCCTACAAAAAATTGTCCTTTTTCATAGGTGTTTTTTTTGTTAAAAGTGGAAATTAACAGTTCGATTATGTCATTATTTTAGCAATTTACGAACAGTTATATTTCATGGAGTTATAATCATGAACACAAGTTTTACCGAAAATATATACCAATTCAAGATTTAAAAAAATACAAACAAAAAATTACGTGAAAAAAAACATGCAGATTTTTTGCACAAAAACCTGTGTTATGTGAACCCTACTTTCTTTACCTTCACTATTTAATGATTCACATGCTTCTAAAACGGTACTAACTGCGCAGCCAGGCAGAATTTTTTGTCTACAGAATGCGAAGGAATGATGATGACGAAGAAGAGAAAGATGAAGCAGAAAGAAACTAGAAAGTGAGTTTAGAGTCGGAAATGGGCAGGAATTTAGTAGTAGGAAGAGAGGATTTAGGAAGAATGGGACTATTATTTAATGGAGAATAAATGTAGAGTAGGAGTAAAAGCATGCCAAGATTTTTGCTCAGAAAAAGGAGAGAAGGAAGATGAGACATGTGAATAGAATACAAATGAGGTGAGGAGAAAGTAAGTAAACCGGATGTTGCCAAGAAGTGAAAGTGTGTAGGAAAATGGGAAAAGTCAAAGGTCATGGATGCCAAGAAATTAAGTAACCTTTCACAGTAAAACTGGGTGTCATTAATGTCACATTAAATATGTGGGTGCAAGTGTCAAAGATCGACGTCGTTAGAAATTAAGATATTTAGTCGAACATTCGAATATTAATTTTGTAGATACGTTTGCCAAAGGGGCTGATTTAAGCAAAACTTATTTTCAAATTTAATCCAACGGACAATCCTTATAAAATATTTGTAGTCGTTCGCAAAAACATTCATAATTAATATGATTTAGTAAATCCAGAATTTAAATCTTGATCTGGATTTGATTTAGTTTTACATAAATAATTTAAAAAATATTATTATCGGCAAAATCGTAGAGCAGACAAGGAACATGCGGACAGACAGACCATTCCTATAAAGCACTCTTTCCTAAAAAATATTTCGTAATGGCTACAATTAATATTTTTCTTGCCTGTTTTTCCTCCAGCCCGTACCTCATCAACTCTCAGCAAGACTTGGCCCTGCTTTACAATGACCTCTCCGTTTTGGAATCTCACCACGCCGCGTTCACCTTCAAACTCACCCTGTCCGACGCCCGCGTCAACATTTTCGCCAATTTGGAACCAGACCTTTTCAAAATTGTGCGCCAGTCCTTAATCGGTAAAAAAATATTTTTTAATATCCCATTTTATTTGTACTAGGAAAAATGTTGTTAATATTATTAGTGATTGTTTTCGCTGCTCGCTGATGATTTTTTATTAGATTTTGGGTTATCAGTCTGTGAGGTTCTTTTCCGCGGAAATGGAATTATGTGTTGCATGGCGTTTGAGGTTTGCACGTTGGAAAACGGGTGTCTTTTTGTCAACTTTTTCTCCAACCCGGCAATCTTTTGATTTAACAAGATGATGGTCTCGTCCTTCTTCTGCAAATTTGACTTGAGTGTGACGATGGTGTCGTCCTTCTTCTGCAAATTTGACTTGAGTGTGACGATCTCGTTCCTGAGTTCGGCAACTTCGGTGTTGCTAGTTGAACCTTCATTGGGTGCAGACGGTAGAACGACAACTTGTCTATGAATGAAACAAAAAATGATTATTTGCAAGGTAGAATTGTTAACTTCAAAAGTTAAGTAAACAGGCATACCTATTTTTTTCGATCTGTTTGAATCCGAGCTTGCGACCTTTCCCCTTGAACGTGCATCCGTTCTTTATGTGTTTATTTAAACCCGATTTATCTGCAAATCCGGAGTGACAGGTTTCACAAACGAAAGGTTTCTCAGCCGTGTGAGTCCGGACATGACTAAAAAATTAAACATGTTTACAACAAGACACAATGGATTTCGACGTAGTTTTTATAAACCAACGCAATCATGGCTGAAGGCTTGTCGCATCGATAATCACATAAATCGCATCCCAATCTGCCGACCAATCTGCCAATCTGCCGTTCCTCTGGACTTTCGTTTCTTTTTCTCTGGTCCACTCAATGCAACGCACACTTCATCTTCTTTTTCGACAACATCGATGACGTTGTCTGTTGCTGAACTAGGAAACAAACCCAAAAAAGTCGCCATAATGTAAACATCGATACACAATTAGAAATTCATCATTTGGTATTACTTAATAGCATAATTTATGACATCCCAGTGTCTTGACAAGAGTTTCTTTACAGTTTTTGGCTTGATTGAACACTTAGCTTCCTTGTAGTCTCGGGTATAATTTTTTAGTGCTGCAGCACTCTTGAAAGAGGCACCAAAAAGTGAGGGGTCAATTACTTCGATCGGATCAGCAAACAATGGGATTGTCCATTTATCGCTGAAATTTTAAAGTTTTGTATAACTATAAAATGTGAATCAGTTACTGCATATGACAAAATAACTCACAGATAACTACAAGATCCCCCAGTCACACCGTTATCCTTGCTTCGATTATTCGTCGAGCTAATTGCACCTTTTGCCCAAAGAAACTTATCTTGCAGGGACGACTCTCCATATGTCAACTCCCTTGGTCTAAATAACGCATCTCTGAATACTTGTATCAGAACGCGGTTCAATTCAACACCTAGATAATAACATGCACATTTAGAACTCACGATACACTGTCTGAATGTCAACAAATTATACCATTCATTTCAAGCAGTTCGGTTTTTTGCTTAGCGGACGCGGTGTATTGATCATCTATTTTTTCAATGACATAGACTGAAGTACCATCCGGAATGTCGTCAAGATTCAATTGCCTCCTGGGGGGCTGGTCCGATTTAGTTGACATCAGACTCTTCTTCTTTTTAAGAACAGACCTAACAATGTTCATCGAAAGTTATGTCATACTTATGTCATATATTTGCATCATAAATAATGAATATGCAATTTTGTATACCACATTGTTTCACGGTACCCGACCAATATCTCTCCGAATTCTTTTGCCAATTTATCTCGTGTCTTGATGCGTTTGGAAGTGGAATCCAGCTCGACATCGTGTAATTCACACATGGCTGTATTTGTCTCCAGCACCAATTGTTTTGCTTTCTCCACTAGTCGATCCCTGACGAAAAATGAAAGTAACAATATCACATCTGCAAATTTAAATGTGTGCATCATAAGTCTTACAACGTACACTTTAGGAAGTTCCTCGGATGATCCGTCCGACCCAACTCTCTCCACTCTGATTACAATTGATTTCACTATTAAAAAGACAAAATCAAAATTTCACCATCTCATTTAGGACAAATTTGTGACTGAACTTACCATATTTTTTAATCTCACCAAACTTTAACTCAATAACTTCGTGAAGTTCACTAAACGACATGACTAAATTGACTACACAATTAATTAATGTGACTGATATCAATTAATTTGTAGCAAGCACCAGGTTGTTTACTAAAACACTACGTCGGGTCGAGTAGTTTAAACATCGCAGAGATTGAAAGAGTAAATGAATAAGTTTTCCCATCTAACATTACCCCATTATTACAGACATGGTCCTCGCGACCGAGATGAACAAACATTTCGAACACCTGTCGAAATTCGTGAATGTTTTTACGAAACCGTTCCTTCGTGAGGATAATCAGTGTGGAGGTGAGTAAATTATGAAATTCGTGGCAATTTCGCAAAATTATTTTGAAAATGTATTAAATTTGGAAACAAAATTTGGAAACAAAAATCGTCTTCATTTTTTTAAATGTCCAATTGCAATCAGTGATTTTAAAGTTTTTGAGAAATTTTAACTTTGACAACTCCACATGAAAAGGTCACTTATATTAAAATATTTATTAATTTCAGGTCAATCCGACCACACTCCTTTGACCCCGACGGAACCGGATATTTCGACGTTGATAACGCCCGAAAACGTGGTCCTGATTAAACGAATGTTGATCAAATGTGCCGACGTGGGCAATCCGACCAGACCTCTGAAACAATGTGAGTTTGAATCAAATTTTTAAACAAACATATGTACCTCCAAAATTATGTACCTAATTGTGTGCCTAATTTTTGCACAGGTGTCGAATGGTCGAAACGCATAGCGGAAGAATACTTTCGCCAAACGGAGGAAGAATTGGCGAGAGGGTTGCCACCCGTGATGCCCATGTTCGACCGGGCGTCGTGCTCCATACCGAAATCACAAACGGGGTTCGTCGATTATTTCGTGGCTGATATGTACGAGGCGTGGGATGGTTAGTGAAAGTTAATTGTAATTAAATTATATGTAAATTTTTAATTAAATTGTCCCTGTTTCTGTCCCCAGCGTTCATCGACGTACCCGAAGTAATCGAACACATGAAGTACAACTACGACTATTGGAAAGAACAGGACAAACTTGGGCTCAGAGATGCTACGCTTAATGAAACTTATCTTCAAAAGTATCCCCAACCTGTCTCGAGATTCGTGAGTTTGAGGAGTTTGGAACAATCACAGCTTTAAAGAGTTGAATATTATTTTCGAAAAATATCTGTATTTCCAGTAAAATTTTTACTCAATAGTTTAATGCATTTTTAACATATTTTATTTTTTGGAGGAGGAGAGGGATTGAAAATTGGCCAAAATTTGTCTCAGGACATCCGTAATTAATGTTGTAAAACAGTTCAGGAAATTATTTCTACAAGACTTTTTATCACCTTTATTTAATGAAAGAGAGAAAAACACAAACTTGAAAATGATGTGTAGGAGAACAACTCAATTAATTTAAGATAAATGGATTAGTTAGTAAATTGATGTCACATAAATGTCGTAATATACAAATTCATGTCGTTCAAATCCAAGTTTTCCTCACAGAAAGCGAGATTTAATTGGAAAATTGAGAATTTATTATTCTATGAAACCGTCTGAGATTCCCGTTCAGCTAAGAAAATGAATTGTTCTGTTAAGAAAATGAGGACAAAATATTTATGTTTTTTCGGTGTGATTAATTAATTAATCATAATTGTTAAGTGGATGTAACAGTGTAACAAAAAAGCTACCCTTAAGAACTCTATATCTCTTGAAGTAAGTTAAATATCTATGAAAATCAGTCATGTTATTAATTAATTAATTAATGGGGATCATAATTATCTTCATATCACGACTTTTTTTCTAAGCTAGAGAGAAAAATATCTATTTAAAAGAATTTAACGTGTCATTATTTTTATTAATTTAAATTTTTAACCTAGAATTACCATTTTACTTAATTTACCATTTTTACTTTTTGTTACGGATATAGTAAATAATTAGCTATTTTATTTTACTAAATTTTAAGTTGTTGACTGACCATGAAAGATTAATTAAAATTATATAAAATTAAATCTAAAATTTCAAACTCTTACCTGATTGATGATGGAAACAAAAGAAAAATTTTAAATCTGTATTCCTACCAGGACGTGAAATACCCTTATCAACAAGAAAACAGAACAGCTTAATATCTTACAAATTTAAAACACAGATTATGTATTTATGAGATATTTAAACATGTGAGGAATTTACTTGTGGTAAATAATTTACATAAAAAAATTAAATATTCGATGGTGCTAAGGATAGTTAAACTAAAATTAAATGTTGTCGTAATTTGTGTCATGTTGTTGTATCGTGAAATTACTTAATATATATTCGCCAAAAATGTTATTATTCTGAGTTAGTTAATTATAATTAATGATTAATTTTTTATACCAATATTGATTATCAATTCAATCAAAGAATGATTAGTTTTATTTACCTAGAAGATGATCTGTTTTTCGGATAGATTTAATTTATAAATACAGAAATTAATTGGATTTTCCTTACTTATTTGCAAATTTTTGTGAATAAATGTTGTGCCAAAAAAATATGTATCGTCAGAAATGTAAGTTTCTCCAATTTTCCTCCACGCTTGGGATCTTGATGACTTTGAGGGGAACAAAATCGATGTCACTTCCGGTTTCCTCGGATTTTTCAAGATTTTCGACTTTTTCCCTCTTCTCCATTTCCTGAACGTACCACAACGGGCTCAAAACCTTGCTTAATTTGTGCAAAAGTTTTGGCACTTTGACAAAAAGGTGATGACTCTGGTCAACCTGGTCTTTAAGATAAGCGACGTTATCCTCTTTCCGGTTTCCGTTTAAGAGGTAATTCGCCATGGTGGTCTTGGTCTTGGTGAGAATTGAGGTGGTGTTGCCTCGACCTCCGGCGGTGGCTACGGGGCGGGGTCGGGTTAACAGGATGACCGCGGTGGCGAGGAAGGAGGCAAAAGATAAGCCACCCAGGAGCGTGTAGAGCTGCATGTGCTGACCGTAGTCGGAGGTGGAGGTGGACGTTTTGTGCCATCCGTACCCGTGGTCGTGCTCGGTTAGGTCTTCCTTCGGGGAAGGGTCGTGGTCTTGACCTTGGTGTTGATAGTGAGATTGATCTTGGTGCTGGTGATCATTGACGATGCGATGTTCAGGTTGATCGTAGTCGTAGTCGGAGGAGGAAGCTTGGGTGAAGGCGTGATTGCGGTTTCGATGCTGATGGCGGTTATCGGTGCGGCGTGAGCTGGATATTATTAATAATATTAGAGCGGTTATCATAAATATTGATTTCTTTAACCTAGTAAAAGGCACAAAGTTATAAAAGTTGAGACAAGTTTATAAAATTACGAGGAAATGTGGGGTATTGAGAGTAGTCGCAAACCTCGCATCGCAACTTACGGCGTGAATTGGTTCACATATAAGGAGTTGTTTATTGCTCAGCGAAATTTGCGAAATTTGCAAAATTCATAATACCGTCTGACCTCTAAACTTACACCGAATTGTATTTTACAAAGTTTACACAGTTTACAAACATGTGCATTTAAATTGTGTATATGTAGGAAACGTTGTCTACAGTGCATTGAATACTTACCTATTTTTGTTGGAGAAATTGGCAGAATCGTCTCCTCTTCTTTGCGAGAAGAATGATTTCCCACGGGTGAAAAGTTTCCAAAATAAGTTTTTCGGATCTTGTATCCTACCCGGAATAGGATTATCACCACCACCACTACTCCCCAAACCTTGTTCGGCCTGGTTATTATTATTATTATTATTCGACGCTAAAAATGGGAAAGATGTCGAGCAGGATGAAATTATGGAGAGAATTATTCCCATAAAAACTATAAATTTAGGGAACATTTTTCAAAGAAATTTTCAGAATTAAACGACCCACTCGGAAAGTAAACTAGATTGATTCATGATCTGATCCAAAATGAAATGAAATCAATCCTTGAGAGATGCATCTCATTTACGGATGCGCAAATAGCAATCTAGTTCAATGCACAGCAAATCGGGGATTACATTTGCATTTACGTAAAAAAAGATTGAGGAAGCACGAAAAAGAAGGTTACCTGCTTTTTTAGGTTTACTTACTTTTCCAATTTAAAAAGTAAAGGCGGAGTTGCCGATTAAAAATACGTATGCAAGTAGTTATCTAGTTAGTCGTTGATTTGTTCATGACGTGATGAGGCGAGGATTCAGGATGTCATGTAATTCGTATCATCGAAACCTTATACACTTGGCATTACGTTGAATTAAAGATTCGACATATCCGTCCTTTTCAAACTCAAAATCCGATCATGCAAAACGAGGATGCGCTTGGATTAAATCGAAACGAAAATTTCCATCGGAAAAAAATTCATGTCGGAATTATATTTCAGAATTTGGCCAGGATTTGGGCAGCATTTTTGATAAAAAAAGTATCGTAGGACATGAAATTATATTAAATATTAATTTCCACAAAATGTGCGATTTCATATTTCTGTATTGTAGTTGAAAGAATGTTTTTAAACTATTTTTTTTACACTGCTCTTGAAATGAACATGTGTATAATAAAATATTTCACAAACTCGATCGTATAATAATTTTTATAAAAATTAAATAAATGGTGGTGAAATATGCCTATTACAAATATCAGATTTTGAACTAATTAAAAATGGAATGGACAACATAGGACTTAATCAATGCTTATAGTACAAATTAATCAATTATCAATTAAAACTGATCAGCAATTATTTTTAATAAACTGTTAATAATTTCAATTACTAATTTTTTAATAATGTTAATAATTTTTAATAAACGGTTAATTTTTGTTCTAAGCATTAATAAAGTCCTAAGTTGTCCATTCCATTTTATATTCATTTATTTGCTAAATTGATCAGGCTTGACACCATTTATTTAATTATATCAAATTTATTATATGATCAGGCTAGTTAGATAAGCTTCTCGATCCATTCAAATCCAAGCCTTTTGAATTAATAAAAATAAAAATATTTGTACTGTATCTTGACAAAGCTTTCAGTATTATTTTCGTCTGTGAACAATAAAGCAAAACATTTGATCTTAAGCTTCATGATTTGCTATCTTATTAGTTATTTTCATAAAAGTTCGGGAAGTACAAAATTTTGAAATGTTTTCACACAATAAAATTTCATTTGCTTAAATTTGTCATCAAATACCTTGATTTTTAATTAATTGACAAGTGAAAATTGTAAACTTTTCTTTTAATAGGTCACAGAACCCCCGGGTAGCTCACATACGTGCTAAATTTCCTACCATAATTGCAAATGTGATTTGTATAAAGGGTAAAAACCCATCAAAATGGAAGGAAGTCGCCCAATTTGCGTAAATCGTCGCCAAAAAACCGAACCGAATTGGACCCCGTCACGACGCACGTTTGGTTTCTGTGTCGCATACGTACATAAAATTGGTCACTTTCCATGAATTGGGTCTCCATTTGACACGTATTTGTATAAAAGGTAGAGTAAAATCATGCATGTTTGTGACATTGGGCAAGGTTATTATTCATCGAAATCAAGGTTGACACTGACACTGATAATTGCACTTAATTTACGACAATTTTAGAAACCAACCACGAAATGTGGAAAAGTAGAGCGGTAGTTGGTTCGTTTGGATCATCATCACCCATTTCATTTCATTTACACAAAATGTAGATCTATGCACGAAATTAAACCACAAAAAAAGAAGCAAGATAAAAAATATAATGCTCATTTTTCGATGAAAATAGAGAGTCAAAAATACCCAACTGCTCATCAATGTCATGCAGTTTGACACGATACTTACATAATAATCATGAATTATGAAGGGTAAAATTGGGTAGATTTGGAATATTTTTGGTTCTGTATGAATTTATCGAATTTTGGCAAAATTGAAGAAGGAAACTGAAAAAAATGAAAAATTGGGCAAGTTTGATTCCGCCTTTGAATTAAAGTAATATGCATTAACTTAAATAGACTTTAGATTTTTCCTTTTCGGTGTTATAATTATTATCATTTTGTAAATAAACCCTTACAAACAAATATAAAAAAAGTAGCGTCAGAATGATCGAAAGATCCTTTAAAATGACACACCATATGATAATTATGTATTTTTGGTTCTTGACCTCGTCCTCAAGATCATAAGGTCAAAAATATTTGCGTCCTTGAAATCGTGGTCAATTTTCCTTTGAAATTTTACCCCAAAACTTGCTGGATTTCGTGAATCTGCGCAAATGCCTCATTAAATGTTGTTTCTAAAGAATTGCTCTTTTCAAACTAACATGTTCCCAAAATAATCTGGATTGAACATGGTTTGAGACCCCATTGTGAGTCGCATTTCATTCTAATTTTACAAAAAAAACTAACTTTTTTCGTAATTTTGTCGCTACACAAAACGTCTTAATTTCCACATAAATTTCTGGAGGGCCATCAAAACGAAAAAAATGTGACTGACTGACGCCGAGAGAGCGGATCCTCGGTCCACGAGAGACCTTGAGCCGCCCTGCAAGAAAGAAGACGTCGTGGTCGTGATGATGATCATCATATTCCAATTCTCCATAAGTAACGTGATGGATTAGATGGCAGAAGAAGACTTTGGTATAAAAATAAATACAATTTTTAATCCCATTTCCGGTCCCATACGTCACGCCACGCAGCAAAATAATAATAATAATAATAGTGTTCAGGGGTTCTTGGAGATTGTATTCTCATTGTTGCTGCGCTGCCTGTTGATGGCATGTCATAACTTATGTAAGGTGACGTTATTATTAATGCGACGACGAGTTAAGGGGAAGAGAGAGATGGTATTTTTTGTATTTTATTAAAAAAGTGGGTGAATTTTGTCAACTGTTGAATCACAAATTCCAGAAACTCAATTTCATTATGTAACCATTTACAAGTCTATGTTATTCTAAATTTGAGACCTATTAATTAAAATGCTAGTATAACTCTCTCAAAAAATCGATTTCGCCACCTAACTTGATATTTTTAGTTTTTATGAAAAAGTGGGTGAATTTTTGTCAAATGTTGAATTCAGCAGTCAAAAATTTCAGAAACACAATTTCATTAGTAATTATTGTTACATAATATGTAACAATTTGTACACACTCAAAAATAACCATCGAAGGGTGTCTGAAACCTATTAATTAATATACTAATGCAAACAAAATCTCTCAAAAATTCAATTTCGACACCTAAATTGATCAGTTTCTGAAAAGTTCTACCCCATATTTTTATTTACTTGAAGTCGTAATTGACAGAAATTTTGAATTTGCAATAATTCATTTTTAACAATGTATAATACATCTTCTTCGTAATTAAACTACACGTTAAATCACATATGATACAACCTTTACTTTAAATAATAGTTAAAATTCACCAGTAAAGTAAAGTTACTACGCATTTTATTTATCATTCCAGTTTTTCCAGCATGATGATCTCACCTTCCTTACCTCCACCAATTACTCTATTATTGTGCATCGTACTGCTTGATCCAATTATTTTTTTAAGAAGAGAAGAAGACGAACAATTACTTATAAGTTAACCTTCCTTTATGTTCGGCCGGATTTTCCATGCGAGCCTGTTCTTCTTCTCATAACGTAACAAGTCAAGTATTTAATTTTGTACACCGTCGGCTGCACACAAAACGTGATGCATGCACCAAGTAAACAATAATGAAATGACATGCATGAGGTAAAATCCAGCCTGAGCTGAACTTGATCTAAATAGTTTACAGGTAAGTGAAGGATGTTAATCTAGCTGAATAAAATTTATTGTAAAAATTTAATCTAAAAACTTCCTCCACGAAGAGGAAGGGTATGACTTCATTGCTAATAATATTACGTGTAATTGAAGTATTATATATATGATATATAATACTTCATACGTTATAACGTAACGTAATGTTACGTTATAATGGGCTAACTCAAGTCGAGATTTTTTCGAGCATTTTCCCTCAAATTTTTGTGTAAACTCGATAAATTCCGGAAACTTATGTTTCGTCAGAAATACTCGAAAATGAAAATAAGGTGACAAATCTATGTATCGTAAATTTACGCAGATTAAGGGTACCCCTTGTTTTATAAAAGTTTGTAAAATTACTGTACGGGTTCAGGTTTTTGGTTGGATAGAACGCCGTAATTAAAAATGTTATGACTTTATAATTCTAAAAGTAGTTACAGATGTAGCCTTCTCATGGATCTATAGAAATAGAGCCTTCTGGACCTCTAATGAGTTGATATATTGCATTTTGTAGCCCGATTCCCAATTGATGAGTTACTTAAGATTTACTAACCCTAAGATTTTGCTAAAAATTAATCCAATTTTTAGATCCAAAAATTAATTTAAAATAAAATTTAATATCACATATTTTATAATAAATTATTAAATTGTGTATTTTAAAAGTTGAATTTTTTCCCAAATCTATACCGTCAATTTATAAAGTTTACTTCAATTTTGACGTGACTTCCCCCAGTACTCTGTTGCATGCTATGTATTCTTATTATAATTTATTTACCAAGATTTCACACGAGTTTGGATGATTGAAAGTTAGGTAAGAAACCGCAGGAAATAATGTTTAATTTTAATTTTACTTATTATTTATTACTCAGATTTTTCCTGCATTTTGATTCCATTGCTGTATCTCCATTACGATCGAAATTACGCATGCTTGGTGGCCATACCATCAAGAGATTTACCTTCATGGTCAAGTTTAATTGGTGAATCTGCTGTTTATTAAATCCGAGTTTAAGCAGCATCATCATTATTGCAATTCCAGCTTGTTTTTTGCACCTTGAAGTGTTTAAAGCTAATTTTAGCAAGTTGGTAGTTGGTACCATGCATGTGCACGTGTTAAATCTTTATGCTGGATAATGGAGGTGGTTTTGCAGAGCAAAAAATAATAATAATCGCAAAAATAATTTGCATTCTGGTCTCTTTCTCTGGATGTTGAATGGATAATTGCAAATTGAGGTGCAAAATTGGTACATAAACAAAATCAACAAGATGTGCAAAAAAGAAATAATAATGCAATTTTAGCAAATCATTTAAATTCATTTTCTTGAAGCTTTGTTGAGATGCTTGGAATTTACGCAAATCTTGACAAGTGAAAAACTGAAACTTGGACAAGATTTCGAGGAAATTTAGCATATTTTATTAGAAAATTTTAGAATCTAATAAGAACAACAGGGTTTAGAAAATTTTTGAATTTTCATGAATACTACTTCATAAAATCCTTCATAAAATACTTCATAAAATATTAAAAAATTCAATATCAACAGATTTCATACCTTTATTCAAATTTGCCTTTTATTTAACAAATTATATATTTCATAAATGGAGTCTTAGACGTCCAATTACTGTCGCATACATGAATTTCTGCGCGTTGTTCCAGTTTTGAACAAATTTAATTTCTACCAAAATTATGTATTTCGGAAAGCTGGCAAAGTTATTTGTATTTTTTACATACATAAAACTGAATTCTTGATAATTTTTGGTGACTGCAAATAAATAAATACTTAAAATGAGTTGATATTGGGCAAAGTATTGACATTTTTCGAAAACCTGCGTTTCTAACGTTTTGAAAAGTTAGGCAGATACTTTTTGACGTAAAATGCAAAATTTTGACGAGGTACAAGGGTCAAGGGCACACACTTATGTATTAAGGTCGAGATACCCAATTTACCGAACACGCTACAAATTTAATACGCAGGAGGGTGGGTCCAGAATTGCAAAATTCCAATAAAAAACTCCACCTAAACAAAGTCTGTGGATAATGAAATTGAAACGGATAAAAAACTGGTTCGATTTTATACAATCAAAGTGTAATCAAATCACACTTTAATTTATTACACTTTTTTCCCCCGAAAGAATGTTTCATTTCGTTTGATTGTAATTCATTTCATTGCAATTTCCACGTGTGAATTAAACATCTCTCTTGACAGACAGACAGATAGACAACATCACAATGCGTGAAAAAATGCAGTACACAAGTGACAACAATGGGAGACAGGAATGTTTGAATTATTCCTGGGACGACGAAATTACAACTCTTTACAGCATGTCACATTTTATGAAGTAGTTTTGGCTACTTTATGCGAACCCTTGGTCCGTCCGTCCGTCCGTCTGTCCATCTGTTTAC